TTTAAAAGAGTTAGAATATGAGTAAAAAGTGTTTTAATACTAAACTAAAAAGGTTATTCGTAGCATTACTGGATATAAAAAGTGAATCCTACAGAGGCTGAGTGAGAGGCTGAATGTCAGCACTGAATTAAAAACAAATATTAGTGCACATGTCAGGAGTCACTGTGAAGGCATCATTAATGCTAAGTGATATAAGCAGGTTTAGGAGCAATGACGATGCGTCTAAACCTCCACATTGTGTCTTTTCCAGCGGAGGCCTCACCTCATTCATCAAGAGGATGCCAAATGACATTGTATAACTCTCCAAACACCTGTGGTCTTATGGTTTTCATACCTGTCAGGTGTATGATGAAATTTTGCTTGCTGTGTGGGTCTTTGGGATGAGCCTCTGAAAAACAAATAAAAATCTATGATAACAAAACAACACTGCAGTCATTATAATAGCAGCAGTATATAATGGTATAGACAAATACTGGAGTCTGTTTATGCCACAATCTGATTTAATATGTTTTTTCCAGACACATAACATATTTAGACCAAGTGGGAATGGGCCCAAATGTTCACAGTGCTGTACTTACTACAAGGGTGTAAAATGGTCAAGGAGGCCTTTTTTTTTTATCCTCTAAGCGCATTTGGTTGTACAGAAATCAGACAACTATGAAGGAAATGGTTATAACCAATAAATATACCATACCCACAGGCCCGGAGATCAGTCAGCGATCCCCTAGGAACCATCACTTTTGGGGAAAAAAAAAAATTTTCTCTAACCGGCTGTTGAGTGGTTGCCGGGCAGTCACTTGGTGAAATTGGTTACAAAGACGTATAATGTATCACACAGTAAATGTCTTGCAATTGCTTTGATCACTGGCAGGTTACCGGTGTTGCTCGCAGTTTGCATGGAAGATTGTCTGCACACACTTGCCAACTACTTATACTGAAGAGGTCCTGAAGCTGTGAAAATGACAAAAGACAAAAACTGAACCTGCATGCCTTCAAAGTACTCTTCAGTTTCACTTGTGGACAGCCAACAATTTTCAGCAACCATTCTCCAACCAACAGGGGAATAGACAGACCTGTGGTTTCAAGGAGGTTGTACGACTGAGCCTTAGATAAGGTGTGAGTGGGCCTTCTTCAAAGTCCTCATCTCATATAAGGAAGTTCAAGGTAATACCTGAAATTTAGGGAGGTTGAACGTCTGGTGTCCTGGTGCAGCCACAACAACCTGGTGCTAAATGCCCAGAAGACAGTGGAGATTATTGTGGACTTCAGGAAGCACACAGCCCCACTCCCCCCATCATCCTGACTGACACCCCCATCACCTCTGTGGACTCATTCCGCTTCCTGGGTACCACTATCACCCAGGACCTGAAGTGGGAGCCCACCATCACCTCCGTCATCAAGAAAGCCCAGCAGAGGATGTACTTCCTGAGGCAGCTGAAGAAATTCAACCTGCCAACGATGATGCAATTCTACACCGCAATCATCAAGTCCATCCTCACCTCCTCCATCACCGTGTGGTACGCTGGAGCCACTATCAGGGACAAACAGAGACTGCAGCGTGTTGTGCGCTCTGCTGAGAAGGTGATTGGCTGCAGACTCCCATCTCTGCAGGACCTGTACACCTCCAGGACACTGCGGCGTGCAGCTCGGATCTCAGCTGACCCTTCTCACCCTGGACACAGTCTGTTTGACCTGCTCCCCTCAGGCAGGAGGCTCCGGTCCATTCGCACCAGAACCTCTCGCCATAAGAACAGTTTCTTCCCCTCTGCTGTTGGACACATGAACAATAACCGTATGACTGTTCCCACCACTAACACATGACCCTACGCTGTGTTGACTGCATCATTCCATGTTTGGCACTGATCACCACCTGCACTCATGTATATATCATGTATATATCTATCTATCTACTTAGCACTTTTAATTTTTATTCTTATTTTATTTTAATGTTTATTTTAGCGTAATTTATGACAGTATGTTTGCACTGAAGCACCGCAGCAATTTCCTAATGTTGTAAACCTGCTCAACATTTGGCAATAAAACACTTTCTGATTCTGATTCTGAAATGTTGCTGCACACTTTGACTATACTTTTCTGTCTATTTTTGTTTTTTATGTTCAGTAACTTGTATCATCAGAAAAAATGAGAATGTAAGAACAATTGTTCTCATAAAAGCCATCAACACAAAAATCCCCCATAAAGATTTTGATAAACGTGTATGCACTGGTGAGCTTTTCTATAGACAGTATTCACATGACACTCAAAGTTCATTATGTTCATTATCTTTAAGTCGTGTTGTATCAGAGATTAACTTTAGAGGAATTCCAGTTGACCATAGTGTATACATCTACTAAAATCCAATTTTAAAATGCAATACATGGATATAGATTAAATACCTAAACAATACGACACGGCTACTGTTTCCTTCCCCTTTACCCACAGTAGCAATACTAGTTGAATCTTACCTGTACTACTTTCATTCAAAAATGGCATCTTCAACAAATAGTTGTGTCATTTTCATTATGCAGAATTTGAGCGTATATTTGAGAGTAAATGTCAAACCAAGCAAAATTATATATGAGTAGCTCTTTGCAGTGGATGCACAGGACGTTATCGCTGGATCCTGAGAGAAACTAAAAAATAAAACTATTCTCAGGCAATTTTTGCACTAATAGGGATCATCTTTCCTCTTTGACTTCAAAGCAGATTTATGAAGGATTATGAAAGTAACAACAATACTGATATTACTGATAAATAATACAGTTTATTGCCCATAGTTCTGTTAACATGAAAGTTTGGAGATGTGAGATTGTAAGTGAAATCACATCAATTAAAAGAAGGACTGAGGCATAGAGGACAATTTAGGTTAGACAGGTTTAAGGTCAGTTTTATATGTCAGCTGGTTTGTGTTTGATATACATTCAAATTTCAAATCCAGTCATCTATTGCTATTGAAGTAGTATTGAGGTTTAGGTGAAAGAAAGAGTTTGTAAATCTGTTTATCTTTCTTATTCCAATTATACAGTGGTTGTGGCAGAGGTGGGGTTCTATCTTGGGTTTTTGTTGAGAAAGCTGCCACTGAAAAAGAAGGTGCCTTAGGCTGCTTACTCCTCTGTGTCCATGCAGAAAGGTTGATGTATTACTAATGTCAGAGAGGAGTGGAAGTAGAAGGAGATAGAGTCCACCAGGCAGTGACAGTGGTATTCATGATGTTAAATCTGAAGCAGTTGTGGGTGTGAACAGAGTTATCATGACACCTTTACAGATGATCTGTTGAATATACCGAGCCTCCCAGGCACCAAAGTAGTAGGAACATTTTTAGATATTCTTTGTTTGGGGTTTTGGACCATAGTTATTTTAACTGAGGGCCTTTTGACTTTGTATTGTAAAATATATAGAGAGTGTTAAACTAAGGGAGAAGAAGGAACCTAATGATGGATTAACAAGAGTCATGCAAACAGAGTTTAAATATACAGTTTCATTGGACTTTGTTTAAGCCTGGATTCCGATGTATTAATGGGTTGAGTATCCCAATCCAAAGAGTTTATAGAAAGAGTTTGGTAATGGAATATCCGGAAGCATTGCCAGAGTTGCAAATCAGACTGTGACCTGACTGGATGGAGATGGAAGGACTGTTGGTTTCATATACCAAAATGTCATCGGCATATACAGTAGACTCAATTTTATGATAGTGTGAAATGGCAAATAATTATATGAAATGTGTAAATAATACTGGTAAGATACCACAATGTGGAGTCAAACTCAGGAACTTCTTGCTGTGAGACAACAGAGTTTAAAGAAATATAGATCAGCAACTAGCCACAGGGGGCCACAAGACGGTTCCTACCAAAGCCTCGATAAATGGGGAGAGATGCAGGAAAGGTCTTTGCCAGCTTAAACATATGGATCATCACGAATAAGATTTCCACCTTTTGAGTGAGTTAGAAGGAGAGAATCTCTTTGCTTCCATCACAAGATCAGACTGGATAACAGTGTAATAACAATAAATCAGTGACACTGAGCCTTTATTATTTTTGTTCAAAACACAGTGGAAGAAACTGGGAGGCTTCACATTCTCATCTGACTCAACCATAAAAAAATCACAGAAATATGAAACAGATGTAAAAACTCCTGAAGGCCAAACTTGTGACATGACCTTGCTGATACATCAGCAAGACTGTTGTTTTAAACACAAGGAACTTACAAGTTCAGCTGCAGAGTTACCCTCTTTTCTCAAAAGACACTGAAAAGGTCAAACGTGTCTCACTAGTTTTCTTTGCTGAATAAATGGAGGTCACACTGATGTGGAAACCCCACGGACAGGCCTGAAGTCATTTATTCTGTCATATTTCTGTTCTTTGGCAATTTATGAAGTTAAACGCTCTGGGATTTAAATGAAATAAAAATAGGAGCAAATATATTTATCGTTATTAGGAATTTAGATGAACATAACCCCCCATAAATTTGGTCTCCTACAACAGTTGGAGGTCCAGGATCTCTATGATAGATAGAAGGACTCAATCTTTGACATTAAAGGACTTATTTCTAACACTTTTATCCAAAACATTGTACAGAAAGCCATAAGATAGCATAGAGTCCTGAAATCATTTGCAGCAGCACCTGTTTCACTGTTATACAGATGGCTATTAAAATCTCACGGGTCTGCTAAAAACACCTTTAAAGCCTTAAGTGAGCTTGAGGAATTTCTGTTAGCAAAAAAATCCCAAATTCACAAGCTGGAACTAGAAGTTGAACAATCTTGTTCAACATTCATGAGATTTATTAGTACAAGCAAATCTCTTTGCTTCCATCACAAGATCAGACTGGATAACAGTGTAATAACAATAAATCAGTGACACTGAGCCTTTATTAAAAGAACTCAACTCACTGCAACTCAAGCGGTGCATACATCTAATCCAGCTTGTTCACAGTCTCACAGGGTGGAAAGGATTAAGAGTTTAAGCAAAAGTAACAACATAATGGCTAAAAAAGTAAAAGTCCTGTGTTGTCACGCTTGACAAATTTCAAGATAAATGGCAGCGGGTCACATTCTAATAAAACATAAGGCCCATTCCAGTACCTGGACGACATGGGGAGAAAAAGGATTAAATAGAGTAAACAATAGTTCAAATGTCTGTTGGAGAATAAAATCCCAGAGGCTAAAAGTTAAATGTGAACACAGCTCTGAGGCTGATTCAAACAAGAAGTTCTTTTTATTAATCTGCACTGTTTTACTGCTGGACCCCTTTGCCTGCTTTTTAGAGAGTATAACATTTTATGTTGTTTTCCAGCTGTGAATTATGAATCATTTTCAAATTAAACTCTCAAAAGCTGAATGGAACTGTGAAAAAGGATCAGTCATTGGATGGATCAGCTACAACATGGTCACCCCCTCCTAAGCTGCCAGTCTGGCATGGGGGCGCTGGTAGTGTTGGGTCAGGCTTGTTTTAGTGCAACCCGCAGGTGATTGAATGAATCTGGGAAGTTTTTTACGCTTGTTGACATGTTTCTTGAGTTGCTTCCAGGCAGTTTTTGTGGTGTTTGATCTATGCATGCAATGTTGTTTCACCATGTTGATTTTCTAACGTTTTTTTTAACACTAACAAAGCATATTGGGAAGTCTGCTGACAGGGTAAGGTAGATACTTTAAGCCAAAATAATTTACATTTATGACTCTGACATCATCTGAAAGTAAAAAGTGGACACTGTTTGTAACCATCATTAAAGCCTTAAACTGTTCCTGTTGTGAGGTTAAAGTACTTTCTGCTGTTTTAAATCCCAATGTATGGTTCACACAATGCAGTCCTTTCTAAAATTGGACACATTTGCTCTGCTGAACTTTTTTCACACATAAGATGAGAGTGGACCCTCAGTAACAGTTATTCTACAAAATTTTTGTAGGGGTGGTTTGAGTCTACTAAATACAAGGCTTTGCAGTGAAGAAATATTGGCTTAAAATGATGGTAAAAGATAAAATGATCCTTTAAGAGGTGCCCTGGCTGATAGTTCCTCAGATGTGCAGAGGACCAAACGATGACAGCAGTCTGCTCTGTTAAAATTATCCTCACAAAAGTTCCTTTAAGGGTCTGGCCTCAGCTCGCAGCTCTAATGGAGCCAGCTGTAAATGCTCTGATGATTTAAGAGGGATTTGTCTTGCTGATCCAAACAACAAAAAGATCTCAAACGGCTGCAAGTCTGACTGATTGCGCCGTCACTCTTGAGGCATTTCTGCCTTTTCGGCACCAGCTGGAGACGAATGGACCTCACTCAGATTTCTCTGTGACATTGCTTTTGGTTTGTTCACACAAACAGAAATATTTGGATTTTCTGTCGTTCATCACACAAGACAATGCTTCGGTCTAGTTTTACTTTTTCTTTCATTTGTTTCACATAAACTGAATCTGTTTAGCTTGAGAACTCTTACAAAACAGACTAGTCTCAAAGTGTTCCATTAAAAATAAAAGAAGTCCTGCATGCAAAGACATTGTTAACATGACAAATGTACAATTTTGTTTCTCAGTCCCTTGTTGCTATTCATCCATCAGGATTGTTTTAGTGTCAGTTGCTTAGTTTTGGTGATATCCACTGTTGAGATGTTTGTCTTTTCCTGAAAATAATGTTATTAAATGGCATTCACTGGTGGTACTCAAAGCCCCAACTAAATAAATAATTAATAAATAATAGATCGAAATTAAATCAAATAACAAATTCAACATTTCTTTCTCAAATAATGACTAGACTACTTAAAAGAACCCCCCAAAAATCCAATTCTTGTTTAACAAAAGGTTCCCTGCTTTACTTCATATACAAATTGTATCCAGAAAAACAATAATGCTCCTCACGTTTGGCTTTTGACTGGCTCTAACCCAGCAATCAAACCTGTAGAAGAAATTTATAATCTGAAAAGATAATATACATTATATTTGGGTATGTTCCTTGTAGCTATTTTAAGAGTTGAGTAAATGTGAGGAAAAAACAAACTAATTGATGGGTTGTAAAGTCACAAAATTCCAGGAAAGTCAAATTGAAGCCCTAATAAACTATGTCTGTACAAATATTTAGACTGTATTTGAAATCCATTTTAAACTACCGATCATATTTTTCAGTGTTCTTTAATTAGTATTTTAAACTTTGCTCTGACACAGTTTACATACAACCATTTGTCATCTGGACCAAAGCGCTACAGAACCACATTAGTCCCTGGAACTATCATCTTTCTATGTTGGATTTATAGTCCAGCGTTGGGGTCCAATATTCTAAGCTTCCACTATGCAGAGCCGAGGATTATCAGCATACAAATATCACAGATATATTTACGTGCAGTCCTCCAAAAAGCCAGCAGTGTGCAGCCAGACTGCAGTGATGACAGATCAATAAAGCTGCCTGAAGCTGCATATGCACTGGAAGAAATTCAGGGCAATGTGATCACCAGATAAGTGAATGACACGCCACGACTTCAAGCAATCATGGGTGAAATAACTGCTGGCGATGGGAAGTAGGTGGGATGAGATAAACTTTTCTCAACTTCCAGGGGAACGACTGTAGCAACCACCAATCAGAGTGAAGAACACTGTTGATTGACATATTCCCGGGCAGCAAATACATTAGAGGATCACCTTGGCAACAGAAACCTGGAACTTCTACAAGCAACTGTTTGTTAGCTTCAAAGCAATGTGTGACAAGTAAATTGCTTCAGTTATTGATGCAGCTGGAGAAGCCTCAAGACGGTGGTTGTCATAGACTATTTTATTATTTTTAGGCTCTTTCCTGTTTAATCTTGTCGACAAACAAATGCAGACCCATTATTGGTACTGTTGACTCCGCCCACTGGTGACACTACGCAGCTGCACCATGATGGTCTGTAGAGTTCTGAGTAGCTCTTAGCTTGTTTGCACCTTCATTTCAGAGAAGAGGGTGCTGCCTTTTTGTAATGAGGAACCCGTTAACACTCAAGAATCAACAATTATCTGTAACTACTGGGGGTTGGGTTAGTTAGGTAATTCTAAAATTGCCCTTAGGTGTGAATGTGAGTGTGAATGGTTGTCAGTCTCTATGTCCTAGCCCCTCATCAGATTGGCAATCTGTCCAGCGTGCACCCCGCCTCTCACCTGTCATGGTCCTGGGTGTCTGACCCAGCATTTTGAATTGGTTGTGGCCTCACGATTCTTTCTGTTCATTTAAGAAATGACTTAAGTGTCACTGCTTTAGTGACCTCTAGTGCATCTGAGTTTATTTCAACTTTCTGGCTTTGGTTATTTGTTCTGTTTATCCCACGTCTCAGAGTCACTGTGTGTGTTAGTTCCTGTTTTATTTTGATAGTCTCCTGTTTCACGTGTATTATGTTCAGTTTCGCTTCTCCTGTCTTATCAGTCAGATTAGTGTCAGCAATGTTCCCGCCTGTGGCCTGTTTCCCTCGTTATCCTCTTTGTGTACGTATTGTCTGCATTGCCCTCTGTTCTCTGACGCGTTCTTCCTCATGGTTGTGAGGAAGGAGTAGGTAGTATGAACACATTTTCTGTGGAGCTCGACTGGCTGTAGGGGGTCCCCGTAGGCACCATGTTTTTCCATCTGCTGCCTTGCCTTTACTTGGTCCTCCAGCAATTAGAGTGCATGGATTAAACCTGTCACCTCAAGCCAACTTTTTCACCTCAACGACGCTCAGAATTCCCTGCCTCTCTCCCAGGGTAGAGAGTGGCCAAGCCTGAACACTAGCAGCAGTTGTCAAAGAAACAGGCTATGTGCAGCCCCAGCCTGGACCTGGGGGCAGCAGTCTGAGCCAGAGGTCTCCGTGTCGTCTGATCATGTGCCACCCAAATCAGAGGTCTTCACTATGCCATCTGATCCTGCTCTGTCCGAGCTGGAGTCAGCACTGCCCACACCACCAGTGCCCGAAACTCCGGAGCCAGAGCCGCCAGGACTAACAATTCTCCACTTTGACTCCTGGCCTCCGTTCCCATTGTCTGTGGGTATCTGCTGCCCGAGCCAGATGCTCAGGCACACACATACACATGCCTTTTGAGGGGCGTTGTTCTGTTTCTCATGTGCCCTCAGGTTTTTTGGTTCGGACTCTGTCTCAGCCTCCACGCAACCCTCATGAAGACAGGTCAAAGAGAATGGATGAATGGCAGGTTGGAGATTCATAATTATTTTATTCCTTGCATTTCTGGTACTCACTAGCAGGGACAGCACCATTTAAATATTTAGTCATACTAAATACTACATACTACTTTAGTCAAACTGCTACCCCCGTGACCCGAACCCCGATCACTGGCAGAAAATTGATGGATGGATCTTAGTGATATATCTGTACTAGCAGATTATCGTAGGCTAAACTTGAAAGCTTTGAGTTCAGTTATTAACTTTGAAGTTACACTTTGCTACATTTGGACTGGCGTCAGGGTGCGGTTTCCTACAAATGTTGAGTCTCAGGATGTGCAGAAGAGCAATTTTGACAGTTATGAGTACTTATAGAGCACTTCACATAGAGGTGAGTGTAACTCTGAAACTAAGTGTCAAGTATAGGGGGTAGCTCCTTAAAAAGGGTCATGGGATAAATGTGAGTGCCCGATAAGCATTGTGGTTTACAAATGGATAAAGAACAGTCCTTTGACATACATTTTAATTCACTGGAGTATGAATGAAACCACCTCAGGAGTTTAATTTTGCAGTTTGGAATCAGCTTTTTTGTGCTTAAAAACAGCCCCATCTAGATCGTGAGAGTGTATCTTGAACACAACAGGTTCACGGTCCTCCTAAATCAAAAAGGATTTAATGAAATTACAGCAGGAGGGGCCCAACAGGACGTGACGCCCTGCAGCCTTTTGCTTCTGCACTCATTCATATTTTTTGACTCTCTGAATGGATGAATAAAGTTCAAAGAGAAACCGCAGACCGCGGCGTGATTACGATGTTATCTCACTGTTTCCGCCATCAGTACTGACCCAGTCCGTGCTGCGACCCATGCTGTACTCCCCCGGGCGTCTCCGTCCTCGTCCTCGGGTACCGGCCGATCAGCTCCACCATGCTGCGGCTGTCCGTCTGCGTGCCGGAACCTCGGCGAAGGGCCGCCTCGGTGAGCAGCAGCAGGAGGAGGAGGGCGGACAGGAGCGTGAGCCGCGCGAGCAGCATCACCACGGACCTGAAGGTGCAGATGAGCAAAGTTCAGATTGTTTTGTAATAATGTTCCTCCAAGGAGCCAAAGCCGTTTCCTCCCACGTGCTGGATCTTCTGACAGAATCACATGATCTTCATCAGGACTCATGTGGACCCAACTGTGAATTTAACAGTTTTTAGGTCATAAGAGAGACTTTGACTCAAACTTTTTTGTAATGAAAAATAAAGATCATGTGATATGATCAAAAATGAACTTCTAATGAAACAAAACCTATTTTAATAAAACCAAACTTACCTGAAATAAAACAAATTTATCTAAAAATAATAATAATACTGCTGTCTATTTAAAGATACGGCGTGATTCTAACGTGAGTTTACTGCTTTTAAAAAATCCATGTAATAACGTTTTTCCAGGGTTTAGTTAAAGATTCAAGTTTTAAAAGAGGCGCGTTTTACGTTTGCTTTTGATTCATTCAATGCGGTAAACTCTTTGAATGATTCTGAAGTAAAAATGAGTTTCCAGCAGTAGTTTCGCTCCTAAACGCGCAAACAAAATATGTCCCAGTAAAAACACGTTTAATGCTCTCGCTGCACTTTAAAACGAAGCATCACCCTCACACATCCTGCAGTTATTACAGAAAACTGTTTAACATGTCACATTTTACGCCTAGGAGAGGTTTTCTGTCTGCGAACAAATTTCTTCACCGTTCGGCTGCTCCCTCAGCTCACACACTTAAGCTCACCTGTCTTCCCTGCGCAGCTCTCGGAGCGCTCTTTGATCCCGGGCTCTCCCTCCCGGGCTCCTCCCGCCGGATAATTACTAAACTTCTGCTTTCTGGTGTGTTTTCTTGTCTCTTTGTGCGTGTTTTATTATCCCGGGTTAGTTTCGAGCCGAACCGCGTGCCGAGCTCCAGAGGCCGGTGGCATCTTAGAAAAGCGCTGAACTTTGACTGAGCGCGTGGAGCTGAGGGAGCCCCTTCCTCCTCATCCTCATCTGGTCCTGTTCGCAGCAGCAGCAGCTGGCAGACAGCTGGACGGGGTCATTCCTCTGCTTTGCGGACCGAAGAGAAGAATTCTTGAGACTCGGACAGACTCTGGAAGCGTTTGGCACGAAGCACCTGCAGCCCGGGACACTTGCTGACCTCCGCTCCTCTGTCGACCAGTGGGATCGGCTCTGTGCCACGCGCTCTTTCCTCTGTGGAAATAATCCACCGTGTCTTCTACTCTCCACACGCGCAACTCCGACAGATTACGGAAATACGGCAGGAGGAGGGAGGTGCGTGCGTTTGGCAGCTAGCATGCGCACACACATACACCCGCGCACAGTCAGAAGATGACAGATGAGTTTCTGCCTGCAGACATCAGCGGTGCACCACTCCCTCTCAGTGGATGGAAAGAAAAATGCTTTGTGCGTCTCCTCCTCACCTCCTCTCCTGAGTTGATCAGTTTCTGGGCTTCCACGTTTGCTGTTTTGACGAACTGTTACAGTGGTACTATGTGTTCATTTGTGTTACACAAATGGTTTTTAATGAGGAAAATATAAGCGATCCTGGTTTCAACCGAGTGAACCAGAACCACAGCTAACTACAGCTATTTAACCACCAGAGCAGACCCACCTCCAAAATAAGCAGAAGAGAAAATATCCCAGGGTTAGGGTTTAAGTCACTTTAAAATCTTGACCTGCAGCAAGTTTTTTTTTTTTTTTAGAAAAACAAACATATATTTTTATATTCCATAGTCAGCATTTTGCTAGTTTAAATTTTAATTCAAAGTACATTTCATTCAGTCTTTTGCTATTTTTGACATTCATAAGTTAAAGTATCTCAAATTTTAAACTTAATAATTCAACATTTTGAACAACTGTTATTTTAACAGCTGTGGATCTGAATCGGAGGGTGAGATCATTTATCAGACTGTGTGAAAGTCTCCAATAAAGCAAAGGTCACAGGATACATGCTAATGGATTGGTGACATCACCCAAATTGCCAGTATCATTCATGCTAAGCCCACAAAAACAGACAATATTTCAAATGTTTCTGAGGCTTTTTTTTTCTTCTTTTTTTTTTAATTCTGTAAAACAAACAAATTGTGACTAGACATTGTGGCTTACCCTTTGTTTGAAGTACTCTTTTGTATGATACCTTAGGTCTGATATCTGGAAGATTGTTCTTGAAATATTTTTATAGCTTGTGTTTTCACACTGTGTGTGAATCGGTCTGTCATCATGGCAAAATGTGGTCCGGCGGAGCCCTGAGGCAGTTGCGAGTACTGTGGCAGGTGTTTATATGTCTGTCTGTCAGTTGGTTTTCAGCATTATAGAATTACGTCTGTGCAAGATACAGTCACAGAATTTTAAAGGTGTGTATTTGAGATCAAAATGAAAGCCGGGTTTGATGTGAGGTGGAACTGATGGGTTGAAATATCAGCATGTTGATAGGGGGGGAAAAAAGTATAGAGGACATATGAGGTTCAAAACAGATTGAAACCAGAGACCATCTTGTCAGGGGATCACACCAGCCGCTATACCAGCAAGTTTTCTGACCACACGCGTCTTTGAGCTTTACCTTCATTTTGATCTTGGCTGCATACCGTTAATATATTGCGTAACTGTGTCTTGCACTGTTGCAATGCCAATGTGTTGAAGAAATCTGCCTGCAGATATCCAGACAGACATCACATCAAGTACTCAAAACTGCTGACAAACATGTTCACATGGTAAAAACTGTGTTTTTATGGCTTCTACTTCCACTTCTGAATTATGACTTGACAATGCTTGGGTAAAACATTTGTTAGAGTTAGGCATAAAAAGCAGTTTCCCATGTTAAAGTCGTGTGTTGTCTTGACCCATCCATTCACCCTGGCCTCCTCTCTGTGATGAGTTTAAAGCTGTAAAGCAACATCACCAGACCCCCCTTTTGCACCACTCATAAGTTCTTTGATTGCTAGTGGGCACTTGACATTTTATCTAACAAGGGGCTGTAAGAAGCAAATAAAGAGCACTGTCTGCATCACAGAGTACCGTGACTGGGTCCTCCTTTCCCCACATCCCCACGGTCTGCCAACACAGACTGTGACACTGTCCGTTTTTCACCTCAGACTATGCCAGCACCAATGCAAAAAAACATTTGTAAGGAGGTGTTGTTGGAATATCAAACCTTTTAAATATCAAACCGCACATAAATAGGCCAACAACATATCGTCTGTGGAGACTGGGCACACTAACAGAGGTCTTGAAGCATTTGCAAGTATTTTCTTTTTCTTTTTTTTAACACAAGAAAACTCACATGACATAAAAGTTCAAAATTGATTTGGATGTTATTGAGTGTAGTCAGTCACTGATTAGTTGTGTGCACGCATGGAATACAGATTACAATCAATCAACCAATCACTTACAGATACTCTTAATCTTAACATGTTGTGTGTATGAAGACCACCTGTCCACATATTCAGTTTCTTCTATTCCAACCTCTCCACTAACATTGGCAAGACCAAAGAGCAATCAAATGACATCAGGAACAAGACTTTAGACCTGCACAAAGCTGGAATGGTCTACAAAACCATCAACAAGATGTTTGGTGAAAAGTCTACAACTGTTGGTGCAATTAGTCTCAAATAGAAGTCACCATCAATCTGGTCTGGAGCTTCATGAAAGATCTTGCCTTACAGGGGTTAATCATGGTGGATCAGCCCAAGACTATATGAGAGGATCTTGTCAATGATGTAAAGCAGGTGGGACTACAGTCACAAGAAAAACATTGGTAAAACTTGTCGAGTGTAAAGCGCATATATCACTTTACATTTTCCCCTGGTCAAAAGGCACATGTACCGGCTCATCTTAAGTTTGACACTGAACATCTGAATTAGTCATTGATGGTTTGGGAGAAAGTTCTGTGGTTTAGTTAAACTAAAATCAAGCTCTCTGGCACCCACAGTTTTCAGTATGACCCAAAGAACACCATCCTCACAGGGTGGTGCATTGTGCTTTAGGACAGCGGTCCCCAACCCCCCGGCCATGGACCGGTACTGGTCCATGAGTCTTTGGTACCGGGCCACAAGAGTTGAGGCTCGGGTGTGAAATTTATGGTTTTCAGGGTTTTTATTGTTTTTTATCGTTATTTTTTATCTTTTCTATTGTTAACTCAGTTTCCCTGGGTCTTTTCCCATGTGTTATGAATAAATCTTCTTTTGTTTGGGTACCCATACGGGTTTTATTTTTTTGTATTTATCCGCGACACCTTAAAGGGTGGTCCGTGAAAATATTGTCAGACATAAACCGGTCCGTGGCACAAAAAAGGTTGGGGACCGCTGCTTCAGGGTACAGAACAACTTCATCACATTGAGAGGCCAATGGGTCGGAACATGTACCATAAAAATTTGGACAGGAACCTCCTCCTTTCCTTCCCAGAACAGTGAAGATTTGTGGATGGGTCTGCTAGCATGACAATGACCCAAAACATACCACCATGAGAACAGAGGAGTGGCTAAAGAAAAAAGTACATTAAGGTCATTGAGTGGTCTAGCTAGTCTCCTGATCTCAGTCCTGTAAAAAGTTTGTGGAGGAAGCTGACGCTTTAAACTATCAAGCAGCAGCTGATGAACTTAAAGGATTTATCAAGTTTCTGTAAAGTGGAGTGGGCCAAATTCCTTCCTGAGCTGTGACAAAACCGGCTGACCAACTATGAGAAATGACTTCCCACTGTTCTTGCCAACAAGGTTTTCCGCACCAAGTACTAAGTCATGTTTTGCTTGGGGATACATATTTTACTCAATGACATGCAAATCAAGCCATAATTTAATGAAATGCATTTTGTCTGATTGAGTTTTGGTTGATATTTGTGTCTCTCTATTAAAATGAAACTATCATAAAAATGAGAAAAAGTTAATATCTTTATAAGTGAGCAAATGTACAAATTCAGCTGGGGAAATAATTATATCTTCACTGTATAAAGATTTTCATGAAATCACTGAGGAATTTTAGAGAACTTGAATTTGGTTTCAAGGGCTTATTTTTTATTTTAGAGATATTTAGGATATTTAAAATATGGCACATCTTGAAAGATGTGATTTTGAAACTTTCTGGGACTTCTCAGGATGTTTTGTTGGTCTGTAAAGTCCCAAGTATGAGACCGAAAGAGTTTTTAGGCAGGAGGTTATCATGACCTGTTTTATTATTTAGTCTCCTCTAGCAGTTGTGATTAATCCATGTTCAAAACAATTTTATTTTAAAATATGTCTTTAAAACTAAAAAACTGAACTTTTTTCAAGTTGTTTTTATTACAAACTAACACATTAAAATGCAAGTAGTACTGTATTAGCAAATTTTTCAGAAGAAGAAGAAAACCCTGTTCACAGTCGTACAATTATATGAGGCATCACGGGTCTAAAATGTTCAGGTGAAGATGTCCAGGCTTCTGTCTTTGCCTGGCGTTCTGTCTTCATGTATTGAGTGTCTGTCCCTTGTAGGTGATGGTCATTTTTTGACCTCTGTCCTGCTGAGCCAGATTCAGGCCCACCCAACAAACACTCCCCAGTGAGCTTCCATCCTAGGTCTGGCTACAGGATAAAGCCCTGGTTTCCCACCTCAGAAGTGATGAAGCTCCCCTGTTCTGAGTTGACTTCTATCTGTAAGTCTGGCTTTTCTCCTGAATACAGGTTATCTTGGGACCAATTTATCTTTCCTATAAACAACAAATTTCTCCCTCTAATGGCATCTAGTTCCAACAAGAAGTCTTATTGACATCCAGTTATCCTGCACATCTAAAAAGGATCCTAAGGGGTACCCAGTGCTTTGGTATCTAGATAGCATTTTCACAGCATGAAAACCAGGATGCATGGATGCATTAAATTTTACCTCAACTAGATAAGGCTGTACAGAAATAATAACTGAAATCTAATAACAATGGTTCAAATTTAAAAACACACATCTACTGGCAGCCTGTACTCAAAGTTCCACCCTTATTTGTTCATCTGCTCTATCAGATATCAAATCACTCAGCTGCTCTAAATGTGTGTGTTGGACTGTATATGTAAACACATTTCCACATTAGCTCATGCACTCTTGTTTAGGAATGGGGATTTACTAGGAATCAGGATTTATCAGGAATGTACGTGGGGGACATTGCAAGGTCATATGTATGTGTAAATGTGGCATGTGTGTGTTTGTGTATATATGAATGAGCGAGAGTAGTAATGTTTTTTTAAACCTGTATTTATACAGGGTTTAGTGGGAGGG